GAAATGCATCTTGCTTACTATGAACACACGGTCGGTCCCCTCATATCGGCAGGCACTGTTGACATGAAGTTTGTTCCAATGACCACAGGTTGTATTACCGTATAATGGTTGGCGCTCTGATGGCTTCGGTGCATACGCACCGATGGAAGACGTGTAGACCAAAAACCTAGATTGCGCGTAGCTGGCAAATAGGCGGCATTAGACGAGGAAAGGAAACGACCAGTGGCTGTAGGAGTCCATGTCGCGGTGAATTTCTCTCACCGCATCAAGTTGTTCTTCACCGGGGCGAAGATAGCCTCTCATCAACAGAACACCAGAGTCATGCAGTCCGTCACATCTTCAGGGCTTGCGGCAAGATCCGCAGCCCAGCGAGGAGGGATTGTCACATCGCTCGCGTCAAAATTGACATTTTTATATCTGAACAGTCATATAACTACATCCACTGAGTAATGAGACGAGCCTGCCGCGCTAGCTCGGGCTGTTCAAAGATTGATTCGGCCAGCTATTGGTGTCGCCGTAGAACGCAGGGATGGCAATGGCTTCCCGCTCTTCCTGGAACTTAAAACTAAGGATAGTAACTGAAAAGTCGAAGTTGTCATGTTTAGACTGCATTTGCCTTCTTCTTCCTGTACTTCCTTCTGACAATATCTTTAGTCTGTGTGACATTATAACCCTACGTAAGTTGTTACGCACATTTGCGAGGAGCATTAGATACATAGATAAGACAGTACTGTTAGTCTCATTCTTCGTTGACAAATTTCTTCGTTTCTGTATTAGATTGAAAATTCAAATCAAATTTGAATTTTGATACCACCCAGCTGCTGTACGGCGTGTCTTCAAAAATGCATTTTGCACTTTAAATCGCACTTTAAAATGCATTTTGTACTTTTGAAATTACTTCTCATATTCTTTTTGATGAAGGTATGTGGCCGAAATCTCAGCGTGTCTATTTTTTTCCTCTAGTTATTCTACGAGGAATGATTCTGACAGTACTGTCTTATCTATACATTATAGATAATCCTGCTTGACCGCTGCGTTCCGACTTTTTAAACATTTGTAATCAGCATCACAGCGAGCGATCAGCACCAATTCAAGGTATTGGGCTAAGCGGTATGCATCAAAAGACGCAAACGGGACACACCAAAAAAAGCGAACACCAAAAACATGGTGAAGTCCTCGCAGCTCCCTCTGCTTAAAACTGAAAGCGTTTCTCATTGATAGCAGTGTTGGAATGGCCCTAAGTAGGCGCTCTCGCGCCTGGGAATCCGTCACCGATGTGTCAAAGTTGCCGCCCCTCAGAAGGCTGCACACTGAGAACGCTCAGACTGCCGCTCCTCAGAAGGGAATCAGAACTTCACAGACTGCCGCTCCTCAGAAGGGAATCAGAACTTCACAGACTGCCGCTCCTCAGAAGGGAATCAGAACTTCACAGTGTGCCGCCACTCAGAAGGGAATCAGAACTTCACAGTGTGCCGCCACTCAGAAGGAAATCAGAACTTCACAGTGGGGGTGCACAGCTAAAAAATGTCACTTAAAAACCTGTGTCGGCGCGCTGGAGTAGCCAGGTTTAAGATCAGACGAATCATAACCCAGACCACAAACGCTTTTATGGCGCCTGCTTCCAAGTTCTTTCGTTTTGGAAAACACTTCTGCCGCCGCACAGGAAGGGTGCACCACAGTCGCCTTCTTAAAGTCAAAACAACTGAAGCGGAAGCAAGGATGTGAATGTTAGAAAGTTAAATGATGTGAATTGTGAACTGATAATGATCCATAGCATGCATGAGGTGACTCAGCTGTCATAAGTAAATTAATGAATGTAGTATCATTTGAAATGGGGAAGGCATGCCAAACCATGGTACCAACAAAATGGAGGGAGCTGTCGCGACTGTAGCGGATATATCTGAAATATATGTCAGCTACGTTCGGGACCGAGTCGTAGATTTTCAGCTCCGGCTCTCCCCTCACGCCAGGGCTGTGCCCATGTGCCAGACGCATCTGTCCGCACATGTATAGGTGACTTTGAAACCGCTGTGGCTGCGGCGTGCCATCCGTCGATGATTTTCGTTGCAGGTAATCAGCCCATGTAGCAGCATTTCCTCGATTATACGCCGCCAGCTGTTCTGTTCTCGGCCAAAACAAAACCGCTGGATATGACCAGCGGAGAGGTTAATACATCGATAAGTTTGTTGTGGGGAGAGACAGAAAGCTTAAAAGATTTTTGGTTTGCCGACTGCGTAACGTGTGTTTCATAAGGCACTAAGCACCAAATGATGTGATTTGCTGTTGAAATTCTACTCAAATGTCCATTACTCTGGAAGGTCCTCAACTATTTATGCTTACGACTGCAATTGCCGCGTTTACTTTTTTAGAGCACGTTAACATAACAAATGGCAAATCTGTATGCGCTAGGTCTTTCACGTATTGCTAACCGTAATGACAGCCTTCAAGTGCTGCATGGGTGGCGGGGGCACGGCTAATAACCCTTTGACCCGATGGCTTACGGTTGAATAGATTCTTTGTCGAAGTATACGCACCAAAGAATGGTATTCTCGCATGTTCACACCACCCGTCACATGTTTCTTTTTTTAGCTTCGTGCGATAGCACATAGATAAATACGAGGAAATTTCCGTTTTCCTGCCTCACAGACTGAGGAAAGGAAGAGCAGATGGGCTTCTTTCCTCGTGCATCTGAGAGAAAGAGTGTCAAAAACGCTACCAGCCGAACGGTGTAAATCCGCAGCCAGCCGGCCAGCCAGCCGGACCTCGATGGAAGCCACCAAATGCCGTGGTCTCTTGGATGTTCCTTACAATATTACTGAAAGTAATCGCACTTAGCCAAGAGACCATAAAAAATGTGGCCACCTAACTGCCTGGAAATGTACCAGCAAATGCACAGTGGTGTGCGTTCGTACTATTCCGACATTGTCAACGATAGTAGCAGTTGGGAGCTACACTAACGGTGCTGGATGGCTGTCTTGCTGGGCAGTCAGTCCAAGCGCATGTGTCTATGCAGGATGAAGGTGTTTCATATCTTGCGGTTTTTCACATGTGTTAAACGGAGGCTCTACGTCAGTGGACTTGTACCTTAAAGAAAGCTAAGACTGTCCCATCAAAGCGTCACCAGGACACTGGCACCATCAACTTGTCAAAGTTGTCTAGCGTATTGGTATGATGCTCGGAGGTCTTTGTCAAACATTACACGGAGACGAACTGGGGTATCACTTCTCAGTTTGATTAGCCGGAACACTGATAATCTGGGGTCACACAGAGCGGAGATGTCCCACGTGATGATGTTGCCCGCCCTGCAATGCAGCCGAGTTGCACGTGCATAACCGACGGCTGCATGCGACCAACGATAGTCCGCCTCTCCAAAATCCATTTTTCGACGAAGAGGGCCATCTTGCCAGCTGGTGGGTATTGCTATCTCAACTTCAGTACAGATCTCATTAGCTTGCTCATTCCAGTCTGGCTCGAACTCTTACCACTGTGCGACGTTTAAATCCTTCCTTTCCCTTAACTCGGCGCATTAACGACCGTTGCCATATTTATAGCAATGCACTAGCCCTATACATGCACAAGAGAATCTTCCACGTAAAATCCGGAGAAAATCCCGTTACAAACAGCAAATAAAGGAATTTTTGTTTTAACACCAACCAGTTCTAGAGCAGATAAATGTCGGATTGGTGCGGTGACACCGTTTAGAGGACAGAGATAAGCGATTTCTTTATTCAGGGACAGCCGTGCCATAATAGATGTGAACACGTCCTAGAGGTTTCCGAATCTCTAGCCACCTTTACTGGGCTCTGGTCTGCTTTGGTGCAAGGTCGTGCAGACAAAGCACAAAAATCCCCAACCCACCACCGGAAGTTACCCGGCCACAGACCGAACCGACCCCACCGGTGCCACCAGATCTGTCGGACCACTGCAGCACGTATAATCTAGCTACTTTTCCTAGATCATTGCCACCATCAGCTGTGATCATCGCTTCTGCATAAAGCCACACGCATTTGTATACCCCACGACGCATTTGTATACCCCACGTGGAATGCTCGCAGGTATTGAACTGCTCCCCAGGTAGCTCGGTGAACATGTAGCGGCTCAAGCCGACAAAACGCCCTGCTTAAAAGAGAATTAAAATTGACATAGCGGAACATTAGCGGAACATGCGTTAACGGCTGCAAGCAGAAGACCTACAAACTGCCTTCATCATCGTGGCTGGGTGTGATTGTTGAGCACACAATGATTCAGCTTCAATTGCATTTCTCTGAACTCATGTGCGACCTGTGTCATATCGGGAGGGATATTTCCCACACAAAATAAGATCAAAAGCAGTGGATGCGGTAACCGGCCTGAAACAGGCGCGGCGTGTTAGGCCGTGCTCGCGCCGTCGGTCACGGACCTGGTGTCGGCCGTGCTCGCGCTGTCGGTCACGGACCTGGTGTCGGCCGTGCTCGCGCCGTTGGTCACGGACCTGGTGTCGGCCGTGCTCGCGCCGTCGGTCACGGACCTGGTGTCGGCCGTGCTCGCGCCGTCGGCCACGGACCTGGTGTCGGCCGTGCTCGCGCCGTCGGTTACGAACCTGGTGTAGGCTGTGCTCGCGCCGTCGGTCACGGACCTGGCGTCGGCTGTGCTCGCGCCGTCGGTTACGGACCTGGTGTCGGCTGTGCTCGCGCCGTCGGTCACGGACCTGGTGTCGGCCGTGCTCGCGCCGTCGGTCACGGACCTGGTGTCGGCCGTGCTCGTGCCGTCGGTCACGGACCTGGTGTCGGCCGTGCTCGCGCCGTCGGCCACGGACCTGGTGTCGGCCGTGCTCGCGCCGTCGGTTACGAACCTGGTGTAGGCTGTGCTCGCGCCGTCGGTCACGGACCTGGCGTCGGCCGTGCTCGCGGCGCTCAGTCGCCCTGCGGGCGCCGGCTTTCGGGTCCATCAGCCAACCGGCGCCGGCGCCGGCCGCGGCCGCCGGCGGCGCCGCGCGCAGAGCAGCTCGGTCTGCCGCGCCGTCCGGATCCGGGACCGGAGCGGCCCGGGTCATCGCCAGCCGGGTCCGAGCGCGATCCGAGTGCAGCTAGAGGTGCGAGAAGTGCCGCTGTATTTTTAGAGGCGGGTGCGAGAGAAGATCGCGGATATCGGAGGAGGCGTTCGAGTCCAGTGTCCGGTTAGTGGTGGTTGAAGCGGGCTTCGCTGATAGTGGATACGTCGTACAGTGTGCATAGAGAGGCGCTGTGATTCAGTCATCCGACAGGGGCGGAGCCAGCGGCGGCGCTCGTGGAGGCACGGTGAGAGTCCGAATCCCCCGGGGCGGCGCGCAACCAGGGCAGGTGCCTTTAAAAACAGCCAGCTCTGCTCTCGGATTAAACGAATTTCTGAGGCCAACGGGGATTGAAGATATTTCTTGCCGCTGGGATTTCGGCCATGCGCTCTTTCCCTGGGATATGACGAAAGAAGCCAAGGTCCCGTATGTTGGTGTGACGCTGGCTGAGCGTAGGTTCCTCCGCGCCGTTCTCCTGTGACATCTGGCGAAAATCCCGCCAAAGAGGAACGGAAGGAGGTAAGCAGTTGTCCATAACTGAAACAACGACTTGCGCTTTCAGACTAGCCCATTTCGCTCAACTTAGAGTGTCCTGCTCCTCCTCGATCGGGGAGAGTTGAGCTGTGACCTTGGCAGGTCCAGAAGTCAAGACGCCAAAACAAAATGGAGGCTCAGTGGGTCAGGCCAGGCTTTAGCGTTGGGCGCGGTGGCAGTTGCCCCTTGTCTACAAGTTTCATAGGCGCCGCAGCCATCACGATTCTACCTTGCTGGGCTAAAAAGCTTAACCACGGTGACAGCCTGTCTCTGATCCAATGTTTCCGAGTTAGCTACAAGCGTTCATTCAACAGCTGTTGGGCGGCGAACGCCCGGTGTATGTCGGGAGGTCTGTCGCCAACCAAGCCTGTTCGGGCTGTTCACCGCAGTCGGCCAGTGTCCCGCACCAGCTCGGGGCGGAAGCTGACGCCCCAGCAGCGGTCACTAGGCCCGGCTGGTGGCTGATGTTTACGGTGTGCGGCGGCGCCCGGGCCGGCGGCGGCGTCCTGCATGCACCGCCGGTCAAGGTCATTAGATGGGGATCGATTACCTCATGACGCTTTGCATTTCATGCAGATGCTGATAGGCGCTTGATGAGGCAGGGCGGGGCCGATGAAATGTTTATGTCGGGCAGAGCCACTACCTCTAATTTTGTTCCCTTGCTTTTTCGGGCTATGCACTCAAACCACTCTACCGTGTGTAATTTCCTTCCTGGTATGCAACTCAGTGTCAGGGTGCAGAATGATGGAGTTATGCCGAGCCACCCTCCCCTCCCCCTCCCCCAAGCGTGACTTCCCATCCGGGAGAGGTCGCCGCTGCAGCTGGGCCTGGCGGTCAGCGGTGACATCTCGCCGCGGAGGAGTCGGCCGTGGGAAAGTCACGCGCGCCGGCGGACCGGTGAAAAGTCCCGGCACGTCGTGTGTGAATCCGCCAGGCGACGACAGCCAGCAAAGCGCGGCCCACGCTGTGCAACTGGAAACAGGGGCTGCGGCTGTCGATGCGGCGATACGAGGCCCTGGTCAGCTCGACTGATGGGAAAGTGTGCCGCAGAGGCGAAATCCTAATGACGGTGCTGCTACCCCCGTGCATTCTTCGGAGGCTTGGTTCCATCAGCCGGTATCCAGCACCCTGCACGTAGCAGCGTGTCTATCCTGTCGTGAAGGTGGGGGTACGTGACTCATCGTATTTTAATTTTTACTCAAAACGCCCTTTTAGCGCACCGCGGCCGTGAAAACTATATTGCATGGTGCATGTTATCGCATCTTTTCAATACGCTTCTTTTCACGCGTGTATTTCAATTTCTTAATTGTCGAAATTTGTCTGCATGCACCTCAAGACTGTAGAAATTGGAATGGGGGAGGGACGTGCCCCAGCGTCCGCCCTTGAATCCCGTGCTGCATGTGCGCCGCAAAACACTCCGTTTGTTTTGCGGTACGTTTAGATTTATGCGATAAAAGGCTTATGTTGTTTGAATCTGTAGGTCGTCAATGTTTCTAAAACGGTGAGCGTGCGTACAAACTTACCCAGATGCGTGCTGCGATGGTCTTCATACATTTACTCAGATTTATTACTTACTTCCTTAGAATTACTTCATGTTGGCTGAGTTACACCGAGCAGCACGTATGAGTTTCACCGATGCCCCTCATTCCCTCCTCCAACTTGCGTGAATATAACGTTACTTTTGTTGGTGTTGCATTAAAAGAAATCACTGAATGTCTCTCATCCGACTTCAGACCCGCGTCAGAGCCCCAACCGTCCAGTCACTGCCAAACCCACAGCTTCCATGAGCACTTCCTGTCATCTTCACCGCTGCCGTTTTCATGGCAAACATCCTCAACCCCAGCTGTATGCTTGCGAACGGTACCGTCTCGCTGATCGAAAGCCAACAAAACCAACGGCGCGTCTATTTGTGATGACGTCACAACGGCTGCCGACGAGCCTCCTCCGGCGGGAATTAATTACCGAGATGCAAATGGGCGCTTCTCCCCTCGAGGACGCGCACATAAAACCGTAATTATAACGTGCTCCGCTGTCGGTGATACAGGGGCTCCCTTCTGTGTTTGCGGAGAGCCATCTCGCAGAGCCAGTTCCGCGCCTCGAGCTCGTGTAGGGCGTTCGTATGTCGGAGCCATCTCGCAGAGCCAGTCCCGCGCCTCGAGCTCCTACAGGGCGTTCGTACGTCGGAGCCACCTCGCAGAGCCAGTCCCGCGCCTCGAGCTCGTACAGGGCGTTCGTATCAGCGTGCCACCGGTAGCGTGAGTGCGATGGATGCGGCCAGCGGGCTTCTGTTTACTCAGTGTCCTGTGATAGCGCTGACACATTTGTGTGAGGAAGACCGACATTGATTTCTGGTGTCGAACGCTCTATTTGTTTTAAACTCACGTCCAGTTTTGCAAGGCGCCCATTGTTTTGAGTCACGCTGCAACAAGCGACAAGTATTTAATGTACATGCCTAATGTTGCATTGCATGCCGGCAGTTTGAGCCACTAAGCCCATGTCCAGATCATTCCATCTTACGTTTTACTAACGTACGGAACGGGTTTTTCAGAGCCAATAAAGCTATCCTTGCTGTTGTATTGGCGCCACAACGCACGGCCCTTCTTTCAGTGCTCGGCCAACAGAGATGGCGTCGCTATAATGCCGGATGACGCACATGTTTGCGCATGAACACGATAGACGGATGCTGCACCTGCCCGGTTCAGGTAGCGTAATTCCTTGGATCGGTTTATCGGCTTTCGTATCTCGGTGGCTGACAGACCTGTTCCACACTGTGGCGGCCGCTGCCGCGCTTGCAGGGAGTAACCGGTTTGGAATGTATGACGGCTGGTTGTGTCTACAACCGATTCCGTCCAAACGACGAGCGGAGAGCGGCGCCGCCAGCGCGCCCCCGGGTGCCGGGCGCTGTCTGGTGGTTGGAGGTGTCGCGGGCGGGCGGCCATGTTGTGGGGTGTGGAACCCCGCCTCCACCTCCGCCCGCGGCGCCGTATTGATCGGAGCGAGGCGGGCCCCGGCCACGACTGCTCACCGACACACAGTGGTCATCGCAGCTCGCTGGGAGCTGAGCACAGGCAACCAGCCGTGCCGACTGTGGCATCGCGGCCAGATACATGCCTTGCATGGAAGACGGATAAGACATTTCGGCTACAATGTTCGTTCTTTCGTTTGCCATTCGGTGAATTGCATTGATTTAAACAATTCAATCAAGCATACTAGCTCAAGCGATTCAGTTCAGATTCAGCGATTCATTCAGTTCATTCTTCTTCTTTTTAGGTTACTTAAAGCACATCACGCTCATTTATCATAAAGCTTAAAGTTTTTGGCTTGTTTCGTGTACGCTGCGTTTTCAAATTTGGTCGTAAATAAGCTGCAATCGTAGCGTTCTCTGTAAAAATAGCTTTGAATATAAACAATGTGCTCTCCTTCGATAATATTTTACAAGGTATCGCTATAATTTCTCCACTGAATTGCTCCATGCAGTTTTTGGGCTGTTACTGCCATTTGAAAACGCATGACTTATGCTGATAAACAGCAGGTTTTTTTCTCTAGACTCAGCAGGCAAACAGCCGCCGTTCGGTATTCCGGCGTCGAACCAAACCGGCACCTGCGCATTCAAAGATTGTTCCGTCGAACCAAAGCGGCACCTGCGCCTTCGAAGATTGCTCCGTCGAACCAAAGCGGCACCTGCGCATTCAGAGATTGCTCCGTCGAACCAAAGCGGCACCTGCGCATTCAAAGATTGCTCCGTCGAACCAAAGCGACACCTGCGCATTCAAAGATTGCTCCGTCGAACCAAAGCGGCACCTGCGCATTCAAAGATTGCTCCGTCGAACCAAAGCGGCACCTGCGCATTCCGGCGTCGAACCAAACCGGTACCTGCGCATTCAAAGACTGCTCCGTTGAAGTCAATCTGCATATACTGAGCGTCCTGTCGGCGAGGTTACGGGCGAGGGGCGGCCCGTTTTGTTTTCCCCTAGTGATTTACAGAGCCCCCGTTACCATCCCCTGCCGGCATTGATTCTTTCCACCGCCACCGAAGGCGCCTGCAGTGTATGCATACGCAAATGGAGGCGGCGGCGTGTTTTTGTGTATGTTAACAGCATCCCGAACGGGCCCTGGGCTGCGCGGGTTTTGCCGAGGTCAGCACCGGCCGCGGGATGGGTCCAGGGCTGAGTGCTGAATGCCCAATGCGAGGAGCGTCCACAGCGCGCGCCACGGACTCTCAGCGCACCGTCTACACACCGGCCGTCGCGCTTCGCTCGATGTGGACGCATGGGGGAATATTCGTAGCTCTTGGTTGGGGCGATGGAGGTGATGCTGGCTCCCGTGGTGTTTGTCTCGGCCACTCGATGAGATGCACTCGCATAAAAAATATCAGAGACACGAAAAACCGTTTATTTATCCGAAAATCTGTCTGTTGGTCCGCCCATGACATCGCATCGTATCCGTGACGGCTTGGCGGCTGTGTGACGTCACTGTTGGTCCGCCCATGGCATCGCATCGCATCCGTG